CTGTGTTCAGCTGATCAGTGAATATCTCAGCAGTCCCTGATCATTTACTGCAACACCCATCCAGTCTTTTTGCTTCTGAGTTTTCCTTTCACAGTAGACCAAAATTCCCATTTCATGATTTTTATTCCCTGTGATACACACAAGGAAGAAATGTGCAGTCAGATTCAACTGTGCTGTCGTGGAAAGCAAAGGAGGGAACTCTAGATGTTAAAAAGAAGGGGGTGCTAATAGTGTGAAGAAGCAGATGGACAGAAATGGGGTAGTTGACCCTGAGTGGGAAACTCAGGGGAGCGCAAGCACTCAGGGGATGTGTCAGGCTGTCGTAACACTGGGCCTCCTCCTGCCTCCCATGGGGCTCATGGTGTCAGAAAGCTCTCCAGGAGCCACCAGATGACTGTCCTTCAGGTCCACCGACTTTAGTTACCATGACCAAGCGAGCGGAGAGTGCACAGTGCAGGAGCAGGCACTGAACAGTACAGATGCTCAGTGGTGTCATCTGCAGTCAGGCAACGTAGTTTTGTGCAATCTGTATGGCCTTCTTGAGAAGCAGACAGAAAAACATCATATTAGCTTCTCTGTAGCTGAAAAGGTTCTGCACCAGGCAGATACAGGTTTGAAAAACAACAATTAGGCCAAGCAGCAATTGTAGCACCATCATATATGTGTCTATTCATATGTGGATAATGGCATAAGTAACTCTAGCTGTCTTTTGGGAAATTATACTCCTTTTGTATTTTATTGGCTAGTAACTTTCTGACAACTGAGTCATCAAATTACAATAAAATAATAGTAAAATATTTTTAACAGTTTAACATTTTTAGCCAGTGTTTGAAAATTATATATTCACTTACTTTCATTGGAACAATTATTTAAGTAAGACCAAGGGACACATGCGGTAGAACAAAGAAATATAGACGTCTGTCATTATAGAAGTACCCGAAAGCAAGTAGTATAGGAGGAGAAATAAAATGGGATAGAGTAAAAAATTAGAGTATTTCAGTAGCATTAGCTGCAGATATTCTGTATGTAGATTCTACTCCACATTTTTGTTCTTAATAGCATACAGAAAATCAAAGGAACCACTTAGTTTTGAAAACCTTTTATGTTATTAAACTCAAAAGCAGAATGACCACTACTGTCAATTATTAGATACTTGAATAATTTGGAGTCTAGTGTCAGACAAACCAAAAAGATGAGAAGTAACATGTCTAAATGTTAATTTTGACATATTTCAGTTTGCTTGCTGTTATTGCACACCTTTTTGCTCATACCTATCCTATTTGCATCATTATTTCTGAAAAGTAGTTCAAATCACGTTGCTAGTTCAAGTACAGGTTTGGTCATTTGCTCACATTATTAAACACTGGTCTTTACTAATTAAGACATAAAAAAAATTAGCATCCTCAGTATACTTGTGCATGCTTCAAAATATTCTAGAAACTAGCCATTGTCCTTAGCTTCTAACTGTGTAATTCTTCAGTACACTGATAAAAAATATGAAATACTCGGACCATGGGACAAAGAAGAAACTCAATTTCTGTTCAAGGCCCTGCCACTGAGTCAGCACATGACTTGGAGCCGTGTTTTGGCACTCTTTCTTGAGTGGAATGGCGCCTCTGTTGGCGTGACGCTCGTGCCAGTGAAACCTCCTCCCTGGCAAAGAGCCACCATGCACGAATAAGCACGACAAGGACTCTGGCCATTAATGTTTCTGCCCTGTGAGCAAAAAGAAAAGTTTTGGGGCTGATTTGTTTGCTTGTTTTTCTTTCCAAAACACGCTCTGATCTTTTGATGGCAAGTACTTTACAAATACTGAATATGATGACACACTTCCCAAGTAAGCAAGTAAATAAGCTTAGTAATGATAGCCTTGGCCTAGTATGTCATTAGTCTGGGCACTGTACAGTCATAACGAAGGACAGCATTTGCTCTGCAAAACTACAAAATTAAGGGAGGGGAGATCAGACAAATGTGGCAAAAAGTTAATGCCCAGGAAGGATGAGATTGCACTGGTCGAGCTGAAAAGCTCTTGCCTTGGCATGCTGGTTGTCCGATCACCATTGTTGTTGGCAATGCAGAAAAGGACAATTTCAAGGTCAGATGAGGGGAGAGATTAAAATTTAGCTTACTGAATGTTCTCAAGGGCTTGCTTTTCTTACACATACAGTGGCATTAGCAAAATTCAGGAGAGTCAATAATGTTGCCACGGTCCATACAGGTGATAAAGTGGCCTTCTGCATCAAGATGAATATTTTGTATTAAAAGAGACTCCTCTGTTCGCAGTGTTGGTAGCTGCTTCCTAAGAAGCTGATCATGCTTCCCCTAATCTCTTTCCTTGATGAGCTGCCTGGAGAAGCAGAGCTACAGCAGAGTCAGCATAAAGCTTCACCTAGGTCTTTACTCCATTTATTGTTGCACTAGTTACTAACAGGTTAACACGACCAGGTTTTGTGTATCTGAGCAATTACAGTACCATTCATGTGGTTTTATATAGCTGCCAGGCCACAAGAGGAGTGACCTGAACTGTCTTCTCTTACAGGAATTAATAACTTTTGCATTTCCTTACCACCTCTAGATGCAGGACATCAGTGAAATTAAACAAAATTGCAGGCCTCCTAAAGGTCTATAGGGAGCTCAAGAAATTGTCCAATGTTATTCATGGGTCATTGTTTTTTAAATGGTATGACTTTACAGCCATTTAAAAAAATCATATTTATCCTATATAAAACCTAGAATTTAAAAAAAAAAAATTGAAAAGGCTGCTGAGTAATTTATATCAGTTCACTAAGACAATTTCAGAGGACTAATACTGTCTAGATTAAAAATATATCAGGATTATTAAAGCCCCATACTGTAAAACTGAAGGGAACGAAAGGAACTGTTCTCCTGTAAATTATTTTAATAACAGCTGTGATTGTCTTTTGTTGTGTATCTTGCTGTTGTGCCTGCAGGCCTTCCTAAACTCTTTTTTCACAGACATATGATAAGGAGGCATTATAGCTTGCAGCCTCGGTTGTGACAGGATGAAACAGTTTGGTGAACGTCACTGATGGACTGGGGAAAAAGAGTAAGAGAAAAGGTCTCTTACTGCAGCCAGTGTTGGAGCCTGTTTACCCAATAGTTTAATGTTCCTGTCAGAAAGGCTTTCTTTAGCATGTGTGAAGAACTTTAATTTCACCTTATTTTAAAGGCTGTTTCTTTCATAAGAAGAGGGGAGGGAAGCCGTGTGCAAGAAAGGAGGTGGCTGTTCCTTCCTGTGGAGCACAGGGGAGCAGCTCTCGGGCTGCCAGGTGGGAGGGTGGAGGCGAGCAGGGAAAACACAGAGAGGATCTAGAGACCCAGTCCTCAGCTGGGGTGGTCAAAACTATCCTGGGGACTGGGCAGAGGTTGCCACATCTGGGAAAATCTGGGAGTTTGTTGAAATCAAGTCAGGCAGTGAGGACTCACCCTGAAAGGTTGCAGTGAGCAAGAGGAGCATGCTTTGTACAGCCTTCGCCTTTCTTTCTGTGGACTTAGTCACTGGAGGTTACTCAGTACTGTCTCACTTTCTCAAGCTGAAACACCTTTTGGTTGTTCTTGAAAAGTTTACTTTATGGAAGAGGTTCAGGCAAATCACCTCAGAGCCGTAGTGTACTGGGTCTGGCTGGGGTGAAGTCGACAACATCTAGCTGACTTGGAGTCCCACCACAACTTGAAGCAAACCAGAAGAGAGAATAACATCTGCACTAGAGACTCACATTTTCTTGCTTAAAACAGAGCTAGTGCTGAAACAAGCCAAAAGCCTGGCATGCAATATGTATACGTTCTAAAAGGCTAAAACAGGTGGATGAGGTCACAGTTTTCTTTCTTTCTTTCCCCTTTGCAGAGTTTCTAAAGAATTTGGATTGTTTGTGTGGGGGTAGCTACTGCTGTTGTAAAAGCTGAACAACTGCAACAGGAGGAAAATTTTTGGACCTGATGAGTTTGAAGTTATTGGGGGATTTAAGCAATCTTTTTTATTTTAATTAATTAATTTTGTAGTGTTGTAGTGAAGGTCAATAGATGACTAATGCTTTGGACAGAGGATGTTTTTGTTAGAGCCATGTTTTCTTGGAACTAAAAACATACCAGTAAGACACTGACACCCTGCCCCTTGACCAATGTTATTGGCGTAGGCAGACTGCTGACCCCCTGCCCCCTTCCACCCTTCCTCATGACTGACATCGGCAGCGTAGGCAGGATGCTGCCCACGGTATCCATGTGAGGTATGGTCCTCTGAAATCACATAGCCATTGCTGGAGCCAAGGGGTGCCGTGACTCTTACCCACATTCCAAAGGCATTTGCATGACTGGCTGTTGCTGCCAGGTGGCCTGGACATCAGGTGTCCCTGGATGACCACCAGACCCATGGCATCACTTAGGGTGCCATGTTTGCTATCAGTGATTGGGTGAGTTGCCATATGGGCACACTGTGGCTCATCTTTCCTGCTGCCTCAATAAAGCTTTGTTTTACCACTTGTTGTCAGACTCCGTCACTATTCAGACCACAGATACTCAGCAGATGATCTGGAAAAAAAACATAGGGCAGCATATTTGTCATCAGAAACACAGGGAAATATTGTGGTGCCCAATGTGGCTTCTGCTCTCCCCGTTTGGTCTCCAACTGCCATGTCTTGATGATCTCAGTGCTGAAGAGCTGCAACCCCTCTTCCTAAATGGTAGCGGTGGAAAAAACAGTAGGACTGGGACGTATTTGCTCCATTTGATACCCTTCTTCACCTCCTGGCAGCAGCATTCCTTGTATTTGCTCTGTGAAGAATCCATAGTTTGAAAACAGAAATGAAGGAAGGAACCTTTAGAGACCAGCTTCACTCATAATTTTCAAAAGCCTGGTTTATTTTTAAAATCTTTACTTTCCTGGTGACATTATCACAGGAATCCTTGTTGATGTCTGTAAGTTTCTTTTTATACAATTGTAACTGTCTTAACTCTGGTTTTGTTCATCTCCTCTTCTCTCCCAGTGGAGTTTTTATACTGTGATTTGGCTTCCATGAAGTCTATACGGCAGTTTGTGCAGCGGTTTAGAGCAAAGAATTGTCCACTCCATGTCCTGGTGAATAATGGTGAGTTCTGATTTTTTTCTTCAAATATCTGCAGGGAAAGATATGACAAATGGGGCTCTCGTCTATCACTTCACATTTCAAATCGATTGTCTGAACCATACAGCAGGTTACAATATTGCTGCATTAACAGGGCTGTCTTTCTAGTAGTTGAATTGCATTTTTTGGAGCAATTGTCAGCTGAGCAGACTGAACACTTCAGTGCCACCCCTGCTCGTGATGTTACTGCAAGTCTTATTCCTTTACTGTGGTTTTTTTTAGCTCTCCAGCACTAAAAATAATGTGACTGCACAAGAATGTGAGCATCCCTAATAAAAATTAAAAAAGGAAAGGAAAGCTATACTTTATGTCTGTGGTAAACCTGTCCTTTCACCTTTATTTGCTTTCTCTCCTCTTGTATTTTCCCTGTATGAACACATGCGTTTACCTTGGCTGCCTGGTGAACTGGGTTGGGGGGCTAATCCATCTGAAATATAATCTAGCAAATTATCCAGCGACCTTGGAGCCGTCACTGCTTAGATCAGGGTGCTGCTGGAAAGTTGTTCGTGTCCTCAGTGGTCACAGAACAAACCAAAAGGATAATATTTATCTTGCATTCATACAATTATCAAATTAATCTCATTACTCTTAGGGATTTTAACTGTTGTTATTCACATACTTGCTATCTAATTATGTTTTATAGCCACAGTATTTTTGGAAACCAGCCCGTACAATAATTTTCCTCCAAAAACCTTGCATGCTCTGCATGCAGTTTCCTAAAGGGGAATTTTCACCTGTCTTTAACTAGGGGAAAAACCCGCCAGCAACAATTTAGGCTTCTTTTAGAAGTTTTCTGCTGTTATATGCTGCTGTTCTTGTTTTCCCAATTATTTGCATGTATTTTTATTAAGTCATCCCAAAGAACATTCTCAGTTTTCCTGTGCACCCTTCAGTCCTAGTGAGGGCAAACGTGCTGTAAATAAATAGGTTTGTAACATTTGTTGATGCCTTAAAGAGCTCTCAGTAACACAAGCAAATATTGCAATAAAAATTCAAGAGAATTTTATTTCCTGATTGATATGAAACATTCATGAAATGTTCAACTAAATGTTCATTTTTATTTGATTAGTCAAAAAAGCCTACCATTATTATTTTAATAGCGCAGTAATTAAAGGTAGTAGATATTTAATCCTGGTTACAAAATCTTTCCAGTTATACACGCCTACCTTTAAAGATGCAGAGTATGAACTATTACACAGATGGGAATAACACTGTTTGAGAAAACAGCGTTTTGTGGGAAAAAAGTTTTTGAGATCTATGCACCCATCAGGCGTCCCTTGCCCTCCACCAGTTGTCTGCACAAGCAAAGCCAGGACTGTGCAGCAGGGGCTTGGGGGCAGCTTGGGGGAGAAATGAAGGGGCTGAAGCGACAGCACAGCTGGGAAACCCTCTTGAAGAAGGAAATTTTCTCTGCCCTAGCTGCTGCTGAAGCAGAGTGGATCAAAATTGCAGTTAAATATGTCTTCTTAATCAAGAAAAAAGTTATATGAAAATAGATGCCCTAGTGGGCCTAATAAGATATAAGACCAAAGAGTATAGGCCCAAAGCTGCTTTTAAGAAACTTGAGACTAATATTTGCCTGAATCAGTCTATATCTTCGAGACCTGCAAGAAGGGCGTTTGATTTCACTTAAGCTTGGTTACCAAATACGGTTGGCAAGAGAAATCTGTTGTTTGAGAAAATCCTGCTAGAAACTACAATGAAATGAATGGTCCAGCTTTGCTTTTTGCTGAATCTTTAACAGAATCACAGAAGTGATCAAGTCCAAGGCTGCTGTAAAGACACCCGTGTAATTAGGTTAGTCTCCGACCATTACCTGGCAAGTCACCAGCCTTCACTTCTGAAAGCTCTTTCCCATGTGGTTTTTTTTTTCTTTTTTTGGTCCCTTTTGTTTGCTCTTGTAAATGTTCTGTAGCATTTAGTTCTGTTACTAGTTTCGTTGTGAAAGTCCAAGTGATTTCTTGGTACGTAAGAGGAGAATGAACATACCTAATGGAGGAGAAATGGCCTGATGCAAAAACTTTTGAACAGCTTCTCTTGGCTTTCCATCAGTGTTGAGCACATCCAAGACAAATGCTGATGTTTGGGCTAACTGGAAGGCTTTTCCTTTTCCTTTTCCTTTTCCCTTTCCTTTTGCCTTTGCCTTTGCCTTCCTCTTTCCTTTTTTGTAATTTTTTTCACTATAATGCAATACACTAAGGAGGAAGATTCAGGCCATTGTGGACTGCAGGGCTGGAGGCACTACTCATTCAGAAGCCTCATCACAGTTGCCAGCTCCACTGTCTTCGCTGCCTGATCCCCTGGACACAAGCTTGAGTCTCTGGAAGAGGACAATGCTTGCAATATTTAAGTGTCTGATGGGAATGAGTTGTTGGGCATGTTGTCAGTGAGTGTGTATGCTTTCTATCAGAAAACTTGGTTGTCAGTGGGAAGGCATTTTGCATGACCGTTAGATGTCTTGCAGGACATCTCATAATGACATGGTTGATTTTCTTATATCTCAGTATATGCATCTAGAATAGCAGGTTTCTTAGTATCACCTAGTACTTTCTTATTCCTTACAGATCTTGAAGCTCTAGCATTCTTGATATGAAGAGCTATTTTTCTTTTTTAGCTTATGGGGAAGACCCTGTGGGCCAGGCATCTGCAAAATGCATTTGTAGGCAGTCATATGCTTTTGAGAGTCTGACCCAAAGTCTGTTGGGGCTAATGGAAAGTCTGCACTAGGTTTTGAAAATCAGACTTTGTGTGGGTCCCGTGGCTTCTGAATCAGACCATCAGCAACCTGATAAGAATTTTCATCTCTGTCTTCACAGGACCAAGTGTTTTATTGTCAAGGACTGTGCCCTTCTGTTATGTTTAATGTAAAAGTGCCCAGCACTGTTACACTGCATTTTTTTCACACTGTGTTAGTACTATTTAATTGCTTTAAATCAAAATACTGTAAATTGATTGATATAATCATGTCTATATGTTAGTGATCTTTCCAGATCTTATCTCCGTGAATATGTATGTGAAGGTACAGTTGTGGGCTTCTGTGAACCTATCAAAAAGCAAAACATTTCAAGATGGATTGAGGAAAGTTCTAACATTATACAATAATGCAAACTAGGAAATTAACATTGAAATATTATTAAAGACTATTATTATATGAATTACTGTGCTAGGTAAATAATCAATACTAGATGTCTGACCTAAGATCATTATGAATTTCAGCAGTTTTCTAGGTCACTGGTGATTTTTAAAAATATGTATCTCCATCAGTTGCCTAGCTCAAGAATCTAGCTGGAAATGAAATTAATATTAAAATCCTGAGTTTCAAAGTATTGTCCTAGAGCTAGACACCCAGGACCCACAAAAATTCCAGCAAGGTTTGGGTATCCAACTATTTCAGGCACTTTAAGAAGTCTTACATGAACATTTAGGGCACTCAGAATGGAGATTAGTGCACTAGAGTCACCTCCTCTCTTTTTGTTATAGCTGATTTTAGCATATACATTTAACTTTCTAATTTCTAATTTAAAAGCAAAAATTTGGTTGAATGCACACATTCTTTCAGCTGACAAATAAAGGCCTGTTGTTCCATTACTATGCTTTCTGCATTGGTAATGTGCGTGCAGAGCTCTTGTTTTTTAAAATAAACAAAACATATTAAACATGCAAATAGAGTATTACATAAACATTTAAAAATATATAATGTGCTAGTGCTGAAAAGAGAAAAATGCTGTGACACAGAAAACAAATTCATTTTCTGTGGAAAAAAAAGTAAGCTAAATAGCTGAACTGTGAGCCACAGAAAGATGAATGCTGTACAAGCAGTTTAGAAAACTTAATCTGACAGAAGGTCAGAAAAATATATCTCTAGTCCACTAATTAGCAATTGAGTGCCAATTTTTTGTTTTTGTTTTTGGAAAGAACTGTGTCTTTGTACAGTTGAAAAGCATTTAGCAAATTACAGCATGTACACTAGTGTAATTATTTCATACATTCATTAAAATGGTATTGCTGTTGAGATGCATTAGAAAGTCTACTATCTTCCTGTGGTTGCAAAAGGGACAGATAATAAAACACTTCATAAAATTCCAGGAGCAGTAGTCACTGTTTCATGCCAGAGAGCTTTTTTCTAACTTGAAGTCAGTCGTTATCTCTGTGCGCGAGAAATGTTTCTCACCACCTTGTAGTTAATGTTTTTACTTATAAATTGTTTACAGTACTTAATGATCTTAAAACCAAGAGAGCTAACACCAAAATCACGACATCTTTAGTGATAACAGAATACCTATGGATACCAAATACCCACAGTGTAACTCATTAATGATGAAATACCAACTACCTTCTCTGTTGCAGTTCATTGAATGGTTTGTAATTTTGGTCACAGTTAGGAAAGGAGGGGGAGAAAGTGATGAGAACATTTAGTACATTCCTTGGCATGCACACAAACACAAAATCAGAACTTACAGATTTCAGGATGTTATTAGCCTATTGTAGACAGATTACAGTTAATATATTTCAGGTTGAGGCCTATCTAAGCCGATTTAAAATCAATATTTCTGAACCAAAATTCAGATGCTCATATTTCATACTTCATGGATCATCTGAGAAATCTCAGTCTCTTGGTAGAATAAGTCTCTATAAGCTTCCCTCTTTAGTTCCTGGGGCACAATAAAAGCTGTATCAGTAGGGGTAAGTATATGAAATCTATCTATTTTTCTGTGTTACCTACACACGCAAATGTGCAGTCCAGCCATCACCCTTTGCAGGGAACCATTTGAGTAGTCCTATGGATGCAGTCATGGTTGATCACATATTAAGTTATTCTTTTGTTTGAGTATTTGCAGGATCAGATCTTCAGAAGTGTGAGATCTGAGGGGTGGGAACAAGTGGGTATATCAAATACAAACAATTTTATAGGTACCTACCTATGCCCAGGTGTTATTGATTAGTTAGGTTTAACAATAGTTACT